GAGTGATGAAGTGGTGAAGTTTCATGGTGATATCTATGAGTTCATGTGTTCACCTGTAGAGTCTTCTTAATGTGAGTGATGAAGTGGTGAAGTTTCATGGTGATATCTATGAGTTCATGTTGTGACTCTATTCACCTGTATAGTCTTCTTAATGTGAGTGATGAAGTGGTGAAGTTTCATGGTGATATCTATGAGTTCATGTTGTGACTCTATTCACCTGTAGTCTTCTTAATGTGAGTGATGAAGTGGTGAAGTTTCATGGTGATATCTATGAGTTCATGTTCTGTAGTTAGAATGTTAAAGGTGACCTCACACAGGTGATTTCAGGTTATGATTAAACCTCTCAGGATCGTGTACATCTCCATCATCCCGTTGGTGTTTTTGTTGTACTTGTACACTGTTATCATTAGTACAGCTTGGTGACGGCACATAACATATTTATTATATATTTTTTCCATATCTTTTGGTATATATGATTGGTGTTTAATGTTATCAGTTACACCTGTGCTTTACCTGCTATGACAAGCCAAAGCTCCACTTACACACCTGCCCACAGGTCTAATCAGGTGTCATTGAACACACCTGTGTGTGTGTGTGTGTGTGAGCATCTCTCAAAGTGACCAATAATGTGAATGACTTTGGTGATCTGGTGCCATAATCAGGATGAACTTTATTTTGTATTTGTCCAGTTCTCATCAGCTTCAGTACTTTGTGTTTAATGAGCAAACAAACATTATATCTGCAAAACATCAGATTGTTAACAACAGAGTCACTCATCATGAGCAGGGTTACAGGCTATTCAGTTGGGACAGGATTCAGGTGTTTTACCTCAACACCAGACTTCATAGAGAATTTCTCACATTAAGAAACAGAACAAGGTTTAACTGAATCTGCTTATAATTAAAGCGTGTGAACAATATATGAAATCATTTAGAAAGCCCTTTAAAACAAATCGGCACAGTCGCTTCATCACTTCACTGCAGCTGCTTCACCAGCTCCTCGTCCATCTCAGCGTCTGGAGGATTTCGCAGCTTGGACCTTTTCTCTCCGCCGTCGAGCTCCAGCTTCGGTTTGAAGTCCACAGAGAGCATCTCCCTCCGGATCCTCTGCTCCCTCTGCCTCCTCAGCAGAGCCATGGTCTCCCTCCTCTGGTCGGCCATGGCCGCATACCGCTGCCTCTCCTCCAGTCTCTGCAGGAGAGCATGCTCACAACTCGGCTGCGGCTGCTGCATGCTGCATGACCGCCTGGGACCGGTGCTGCTGCTGCTGCGCTGCGGCCGGGACACCGGCAGCCTCTGTCCGATGTCCGCGGACACCAGCCGGGACTCCAGCGGCGGCACGAGAGACAGCGAGCTCCACAGCAGCCGGGCGTGAGACACGTCCCCCGGAGAAGAGCCCTCAAACACGGTCAAGAGTGGGTCCTCAGCCGGGGCAGACATTTTACTTGTAGTGCGGAAAACCTTTTATTTTGCAGAAAAATGTTAAGAAAATAAAAACAAGTGCGCTGTTGCTTGGTGTGGTCACCATGGAAATGAGAATGCTACGGGAAGCCGGCCAGAACAAACGAGAGCTAAATCTTCCGCGTAACCTTTCAAAATAAAAGTAGGCTGTTGGGAGGCTACTTTATTGACCTTGAGGGTAAATTGGGGAGATCCCCCGCCCCCCCGCTTTAAGAAAACTGTGTATAAAACATGCAGAACGAGGTGTTTGAATGTGAATATTGTGCATAAAACAAACCCAGTTCTAGGGGTAGCCTACTGTTCATATACCAAATCAGGCTGAATTACATTAAACCAATTTAGATTTTGGGTATTTACAAGCTTTGAAATTTACAGAATGTAAACTCTCACTGAGAATATTTTTAAATTTTTATACACTGACAAATATAACGTTAACATAACAAAATGTCAGCTTTGTGACCACTACATTGTAAAGATAGTTATACATGACTAAATGATGGTTTATACCCTAAGTGATCATTTTTATCTAAATGCTAATTGTAGTTAACAGTTATTTCTACTTGAGTAAAAGTAACGGTTCAATAGTGTGAACATAAACAAGTACAGAAGTAATTAAAAGTAAAAATACTCATTATGAAGCTGAATGGCTTCTGTTAAGAGAATGTTATTTGTGTGTGACATTAACTTTAATGTGAGAGGAGGGTGTGGAGGTAGTCACGGACAGTTTGAACTAGTTCATCATATTTTATAAACTCGTCTTTTGTTTGTATTTTAACGTCTTAATCTGGAAAACAACTAACGAGTAACTACAGCTGTCAAAGGCGTTGGAGTAATATATTATTATATTATTAGTAATATCACCTTCTGAAATATAGTCGAGTAAAAGTTTAAAGTAACAGAAATGGAAATACTAAGTAGTGTACTGTGGACTTCTCATTGTGTCCTTAATAAATATATTATTATTATGTACAAGTATCTCAAGGTTGTACCTAAGTACTCTGCTTGAGACTACATAGCCTCCTCTTCACCTCTAACTTCTAACAAACTCTTCACTTTTCAGCCTCTAGAACAGTAAACCACAGATTCAAAGCTTTTAATTTGAAGGCAGACCAATTAAACCTCTCCTCTTTGCTGTGATTGGCTGGATGGACGTCGCTCGTGGCCGCTGCCAACTATGGTGGAGAAAGAGCTCCACCCCCAGGTGTCGCGGGCCCGGTTTAAATAGTGTGGAGGGAGGGAGGACGGATCATCATCATCATCACTTCATTTACCTGACATGATATTCTCATTTCCCTGGAGTTGAGCCTCCATCCTGCACTGAGGGCTGAAACACTGCACAGTGAGTATGAAGACTTTTATTCTATTATAAGTTATATAACCTTATTTAAACATGTCTAATATACAGGGGACAGGTGGTTATTAATATACTTCTATACATGTTCAATTAAAGCTATTAACATTGTTTAAACATGCAAAATAACTTTATAAAATAGCTCTTAAATACCTAAAAGTCATATTTCTGTCACTCTTGGAGCATTAAGTGTTATGTTTGCTGCTGAAGAGTAATACAATATTTATAAGAAATTAAGTCTAATTCAAAGCCAGCAGCCTGCTGCATCACCCTGAAGTGTTAAAAGTTTTTATTTTTATTTTTAATGTATTTTGTTGACGTTACATTTCTCAGTAAATGTGTCAGAAATGTCCACTAAGAGATGCTGCTTGTTGCTTCCCACTCACATACCTGCTCCGGCCACACATGGACGCACCTTGTGACATGTCACCATTTTGGTGTAAACGGTAAGCTTGGCTGGACACATAGAGCTGCACCTTATAAGGTAGCATGCCTGCTAAGTCCCTAGCATCCCCTCTTTGGGCTACCAAAGCTACCAGGAGCAAAGGGTTAGCCAAACATGGGCATTCCAGCATGGCAGCCGAGCTGTTTGATTATAGGGGTTATCTGTGTGCTGCTTTTCATGTTTTATTGCCTGCTGCTCAATGGGAGGTCAAAGCAGCCCTGTGGCCCGCGTGAGGAGGCAGAGACCAGGATAAGGGAGTAAGTAGCTCATCGCACGGCTGTAGGGAAATGTTCAGAGGCCGTTATCTGCAGTAATCTGTCACTGAAACCAAATGCAGCTCATCTGAGTGAGTTCGAGAGTCAGAAAAAAATGTGTTTTATTGATGCTCGTTTGTCTTCGGTGTGGCGATGCGACAGATTGTGAGTCATGTTTTATTCTCCTCCGCTGGATGTTAGGAATAAGTTTGTTTAAATCAAAATGTGAAGAGTTGTCAGCTCTGTCTACCCAGGACTTTTGCGTTTTTCAAAACTTTTGTTGCTTTATTAGGATTAAATATTAAAAGTTACAGAGAAATGCTTAAAATCTGAAAACGGTCAAAGTCTTTACTTACGTTTTCTGTTAAAGTTCAGCTTCTTTTGGCACTTTAGGCCCTCAAGACTTTTCACAACACTTTGTTTATGAGTTATTTAGTTAAAGCAAAAAGTTAATTTGTGGCACATTTCATACATAAAGGAACATTTAAAGTGGTTTCCATAAAGCATTAAAAGGTAAAAATATACAACAGACAATAAGATAATTTCTGTATGGAAATATTAAAGAATTTAGAAGTTAATTAGGATTAATTTAAGAGACTATAGGGAGTAGTTTGACATTTTGGAAAAACGCTTATTAGTTTTTTTGCTTTGACTTAAAGGAGAAGATCGATGCCACTCTCTTGTCTCTGCGGTAAATATGAAGCTGCAACCAGCAGCCGATTAGCTTAGCTTAGCATAAAGACTGTAAACGGGGGGAAGCGGCTAGCCTGGCTCCGTCCAAAGGCAACGAAATGATTAACAGGTTATGTCGCACTATTTCTTGGCTGAGAGCAGTGATGAGCTGGAGTCTCCGGTTGCTGCGTCCTCATTGGTCAACTCGGTGTTGATTGATTTGTCTGCAGGCCAGAGCTCAAACCGAGGTCAGAGGTCAACCCGACTCCCATCACCCCCCCAGAGGCCGACCCAGTCTCCAGTGACGATCCAGACGTCAGCCCGACCGCCTCTGCACCGACTGAAGCGATCGACCCCGCCGAGCCTCGGACCGACTCTTCCAACATGGCTGACCCGGCCGCCGACGACAGCAAGTTCCTCTTCTTGGACAACGACTTTCGCAACAGCGGGGTGGCGCAAGCCGATTGGTCGGCCAAGAAGATGGTGTGGGTGCCGTCGGAGAAGGAGGGCTTCGAGACCGCCAGCATCAAGGAGGAGAAGGGCGACGAGGTAACGTGCGCCCTGACGATGACATCATTGTCAGGTTATGATGCTGCTGCAGTCACATGACTTCTTAATACTTTTAACTCGCTTTAATGGCACCGATAGAACGGACCACACGGGGTTTGTAAACTCGGAGCCTCTACCGAATGGTTCAGATGTCCGATGACGCTGATTAAAGTGAATGAAAAGACATTTTTAATTAACCATCTCTTGTCATTGACAAAACCAGAGCTTAAAACTAACTAATAGTTAAATAAATACAACTATTATTAAGACCACAACTAGACTTAAATATTATTTACTAGAAGAGATGCTAACAGAAACAAATTACCTCTTGATACAATATAGAGTTAATATTATCTACAAAGAAAAATACTTTCTATTTATTGGGTGTAAGTGAACGCACACCCCTCCCCCAAATCACAGTGGAGTAGTCCATAAAGATGCAGTGCTCTATACATGAAGCTTAAACTCTTGATTAAATAATAAATTATCTTTTTAACCATTTTAATATCACATCCACGCTCATATTGTCCACCTATTTAACAATATATGAAAAAATGTTTTATAAAGAAATCTATTCGTTTGTGTTTTTGTATCAAAATCTAAATTCTTCCTGTAAAACATAAAATGACGTGTGCTTACGTCAGCTAAAATAATATGAAATCCATCCATCAATGAATCTAAACAGTCCTTTGTAGCTCTACATGCTACATGCTAAGCACGCCCACTTTTTAGCGGTCCAATAAAATGCAAAGGATTTAATGTAAATCCCTCTTGTGCCTTCAAACCGCTCAAATATTCTTAAACTTCTGCATCACTGGGACTTTAAACAAATACACCTGACGGGGTTAATCACCCTAAAGACCCCTCAGGTACTTTACCTACAAGTTCATGTAAATCTACGGTCTTTATACTCAAAGTAAATTTAAGAGAAATGTAACATTCAGAACTGGTCTTAAGAAATGTAATCTTATTCCAGGCAGGGTTTGAATGTTTGTTTTAGCGAGTGTGTTTGTGGCTGCAGGTGCTGGTGCAGCTCTCCAACGGTCAGAAGGTGACGGTGAACAAAGACGACATCCAGAAGATGAACCCGCCCAAGTTCAGCAAGGTGGAGGACATGGCCGCCCTCACCTTCCTCAACGAGGCCTCCGTCCTCCAAAACCTGCGTGAGAGATACTTCTCCAGCCTGATCTATGTGAGGAACACACACACACACACACACACACACACACACACACACACACACACGCACACAAATGAAACATTCAAGCAGAAGAAAGTAACAAGAGAACTAAAATGCAACTAAAGACACCAAGAAACACAAACTCAAATACTGTGTTTAGACTTTAGTTTTAATAAACTTGCCTTCTATTCATCATCACCACTTCAAATACAAACTGAATATTTCAGTTTTTTAAAATGTACCTACGGATGTTTGCGGACGACTTGGTGTTCTCTTTTCTAAAAGTCTACGCGCATAAACGCTGTATTTGATAGTGAAGGTTAAATCAAGCTGACTTTGTGTCTGTGGAAAACAGACAGCAGAGCAGCACGTTTTAAATCTAAACATCAGGAGAACTTTGCAGTAAAAACACCGCCTGACGTTCACCACATTCAGGTGTGAAAGTCCTCGTTTAGGGGCCGTGTGCAGACACTCAGGATGTACTCGGGAGGATCAACAGCTTATGTTTTTTATTTTTTCAGTCCGTCTTACAAAGTCTAATAAGGTACGGGGATGTGAAATTAAAATCCACGCTGATGCATCTAATACAGAGTGCCATGAAGA